AGTTACGAGACCAGGTCAAAGCAAAACTTGTGGCAGATTTCTTCAGCTTTGGCAAGTTCTCATCCATCTCTGGACGGCCGAGTGTGACTAACCGTAGGATAATTCAGACAACGACCACTCTTGTTTCCTCTTAGTATCCGTATGCCATTGTGCTTTGAGACCTGAGGGAGCCTGAGACTGTGATTACCAGCCACGATGCTGAGTTTTCCAGAGCAGCTCTGCCCCAGCCCTTGCTGCTCGCAGAGGTCACCCGCTCGGCCCCCGGCGCTCGCTCCAGATCTGGCTCAAGGGGCGTTTTTGGGACATTCAACTGACGTTGCCACTGGCAGCAGAGAAGAAAATCTGGGAGGAAAGGAAAAGTGAGGAAACTTTCCCTCCCTCAGGTCTTTCTCAATCATGGGATTTTTCAGAAAAAAAAGGCAAAGAAAAAAGTTTTGGCAGGGAACTAGCAAAATAACCCTCCCAGAGAAAGACGGAGACCAAACGGTTGTTTTCTAGCAAAAGACAAAGGGATTCAATAAACCAAAGTAGTACCCAGATGCGCACACCCCCCCCAGCGCCAAGGTGTTGCCTCGCACCTCAAGTACTTCGGTTGCGTTTTTAAGAGGCTTTACAGACATGCTAAGCACACATTAATGACTGAAGGTTTGAATCTTCATTTTGGCACTTTCAGAAACCCTCCCATGTGGAGTTCAGAATTTGCCAGCCACAACGACACCTCTAAGTACCATTTTACAAAAAGCAAGTGATATTGGGGTTGAGGGTGCCAGTGCTGGCTGGATATTGTACATGTCTATTCAAAGAAAAAAACAAGATTAAAACCAAAACTCCCTGCCTATTCTAAGTTCTCCGTGGCAAACGTCGGAAATGAAACCTGCCTATTTTGTCCTTAATTCACCCCGTGCTTGTTCAGCAGATGCAACTCTGCCGGTCCCTGACAAGCCCAATGAAGGGAGTTAGAATAATGCTGCTGCCATCAAACAGGCGCTTGAGGCACCACTGACAAGAAATTTAAGATCAGAAATCAGGCGTTAAGAAGGAAAGGGGACAATAAGTTCAATAAAAATAATTCAATAAAACGAGTGTTAAATTCTATTTCCCTGAGTCCCAAATGCCCAATTCTTTTTTTTTTTTTTTTTTTTAAGCAGAAGTGCTGGTGAGGAATCGCAGCGAGGGCTGGAGCCCAGCACCGCAGCGCTCTCCCAGCGCGTGGCAGCCAGGAACAGCACTTCGCTGCTTGAGCTGCCCAAGGGCAGATAAACATTTAAGAAACCGTAGGACATCAACAACAGAAAAGAATATATCTGAAACGTGTTCATATTATGGTTTTTTAGACTTTTTTGACATAAAAACCTTTCCTGAATTTCCTTGCATGTAAAAAACAGGAGTGCCTCCTTAAAGATTAGCACTTTTTTTTTTTTTTTTAAGGCACCGTGAGGTGCAGGGTGATGGGGTATGAAAAGCACAGCTGCAGACCTAACCACAGACCTCTCTGTCACACCCAGTGCAGAAAACATCCCCGAAACCTGCACAACCACTGTCCAAAACAGCTGCACGATCTAGTCCCAGGCATCCCGCTCACCAGGTCAAGAATACGGCCAAAAATTACCCAGAGGCGGCTGGACAGAAGGCAGTTTGTGAGAGCTGGTAAAACAGCTGAACCAAAGATAAACCTAGTTTTTATGAGAGTGGAGTGGAAAAAATGCTGATCCTGTCTATGCTATAAATTATTTATACTACTTAAGTCCTACAGACTGATGGGCTGTACAGTTGGGGGTCCATATATAAGGTTTTACACACTACTATACTAAGTCCAGGACACTGAACTTTTAAAACAACACAGCTCTAGCCCCACAAAGGCTTTTAAAAGTGTAACTTTTGTATTAGTAAAATAATTGCATCCCAAGTGGGTCAGCTAGACTGAGTCAACTTTCAAGTAGTTGAAGGGCTGTCTCATTAGGAAACCAACTTCTACCCTCCTTTTGAAGTTTCGTGAAAGAAGTGATGTAAACCAGCTGTCCACAGAAAGATCACAAGGCAAGGCTACTTTCTGTGTGGCAATATTGCCACATATTTCTTTGTCTTGAGATGTTACTGCTTTTCTGAAAATAATGAAAATATCCAATGAAAGGATAAAAAGAAAAAAGCCAAAAGCTGAAGGCGGGAGGTCAATGCAGAGAAAGACATACTTCTGTGAAGTCTCAGAAGGTCCCACATTTGAGCAAGAAACTATGGTATTGCTCCTCTTCTCTGTTTATGGATACTGTAAACATCAAGCAGCAATGGGGCAGTAACCATTAAAGCACTGCTCGGGCACTATACGGAGTGTCATGGGAACACACTGCAGCCCCAGACAAACCAACTTGGTGTGTATTTCACCCCAACAAAGACTGAATTTGCTGCGCTGGTAGTGGTAAGAGTCCTCTTTGTCCAAAGAGCGTTGGAAGTGGCATAAAAGAAAACACGGGCACAGAGAGGAGCAGTAAAGGCACGGCACTGTGCTTACGTGTGGGACCCAGGACCACCCACCTACTCAGAGGTTAAACAGGCTTTTAGAAAAAAGTTACCCATTTAAAAGCGTCAGCACTTTAGAAGACCGGGTCTGTCGTGTTTCGCCTGCAGAAGATCCAGCAACCCTGTACTGTACGACTCCGGCACAGCGCAGCCCCACGAGCACAGACACGGCGGCTTCCAGGTGTGCCAGGTTTGTCCCCCTGCTCCAAGGCAGCTTCGACTCACTTAAACCATTCCCGAGAGGTGTTTATTAAGCTGCTCTTGCGCCTCTCCGGTGAGACAGCTTCCTTGGACAATCTACTTGAGCTCTGCATTACAGTTAAAAGTGTTTTTCTAATGGCTAATTTAAATTTCCCTTGCCTCACAGCTTGCACCCAGCATTTCTTGTCCCAAAGAAAACAGAGAACAGTGCAACGCTTTTGCATTTTCAGTATGCTTTAAGCGATACTAGTATGCTCTCTTTCAATTAAAAAGAAGAAGAAGAAAAATAAAAAAGGCAGTTTCTTGCTGTATCCCTGCTTCATAAAAGCATCAAGTTACCTGGCATGATTTAAGGAAAAGTTGAGAAAGTTGCAAACTGTATGTGAAAACTAAGGAAGGGCATATGAAAGGAGCTTGCGCATTCTTAAGGACTTACCAGAGAGCTTGCCACTTCCATAAGGAGATTAATAAAATCCATGTTAGGCCACAGGCAGAATCCCAGGCAGTATGTTGTAACAGAGGAACTCAGACAGGCAGTAGCGTGCCACTTAGGACACGGCGTAAACACGGGCTTTGTGAGGAGCATCCTCTGCAGATCCCAAGATTCCCACTCTGAACCTGCCTGCGTTACGTTGAGCATTGTGTGAGCACACAGGAAGAAAAGGTCTTCGCCTTCAGATGTTATCGTCTGCCTATTGCTTTTGATCTTGTTACCTTTCGCGCTGTCTGAAGGGTCCAGGTGGTTTAGCAGGAAAATAAACGTCACGTGAAATGAGCTATACTGCAAGGTGCACACAAGCCATCATTGCACCTCTCCAGACTAACAAAAACTTGGAACTGTCCTTCATAGGAGGTAAAAAGCTTCTGAGACAGAAGCATTTAGGATGGTTTTTTTTTTTTGTACACAAGACTGCAATCTCCTATTGGTTACAGATACAAGTCAATGGAAATATCATGTATTTATACCTGAGGAACCAGGGCAGAAAGCGATCCACCCTCAACAAAAGGACACAGAAAATAGTACAGAGGGAGGGAAGGTGATTCTGAAGAAGCAAATTAAGATGATTACCTGCAAGCAAAATACAATTGTAATGACCTTTTACTGGTAAAATGTTAAAGAACTAACAGAGATTTATGTTTACTTATCCTTTTCCTTCTAAGAGAGGGGAAAAAAAGTTCAGCAAAGCAGCCTGGGCAGATATAAAGAGGAAGGAGGTACATTTTGTGATAAGCCTCAAACAATGTTCCTGTTGAGCGTAGGCACTGAACTGGAAGAAAAGAAAACCTCCGATAAAGCAAGAAATTCTGCAAAGACAGCACTGGCTCCCATAGCTGAGACAGGAATCAAAAAGACCCACGTGCACACACGAACATACAGACACACTCGCCACTACAGAGACAGGAGCAACTATCTATAGACTTTTATCCACATTTAACAAATAAGGCCTGTACTGTTCCCTAAGCAAAGTTTATTTTCACAAAACTTGCACAAAAAAAGCACACAGTTAAACCTTATCGGTGTGAATTAATTCATCAGATGGGTTTGGAACAAAATACCTCCCCCTAAGGTTGAGGGGATTTTAAGTGTGCGTGAAGAAAACAAGCAGAACCACCAGAATATTCGCTTTATCTTCTCATTTTTATCTTCCAGTTGACAGATGTGCATGCTAGTGTCAGCTGAGAGCCCCGATACCGCTGCTCGTCATGTGCTTTCCGCAGCCTTGCCTGACCCAGGCGTCCCTCTGCGACCCCGGGGACTCGCCCAGGCTATTCCATACCTGGGCCAGGAGGGAGGGGAACGTGCAGGGGCCGTTTGTGAAAGAATGAAAATTCCTGGGGCTTGGTTTGAGCGTGCAGATAATTCTCTGCCAGCAAACGGCCACGACCAGCCACCAGTTACAGAAAACACTTCCGAGAGCCATCGCACCAAAATGTTCATTCCCCGTAGACTTGGCAGCTCTGCATTCTCAAAGCGAGAGGCTGCACGGTGACTGAATTAAGTGGAAAAGACCTTGGGTGGTATACGCTGGGTGCCAGTGGCATGAAATCCAGCGTAACTTCAGCAAGGTAAATACAAAATCTTACAGAAACGCACAAAAGCACTCAGCCCTCTGCAAAGCATGAGCTGGAAATAGCACCCAAGTGCGTACGAGAACAAAAGATGCTTATAAAGCACTTCTGCTAGCTCTGAAATGCTTGGGTTAGGGCTCTTGGGCTTTATCCCCAATTTCCAGATTCTGCTTTAACTGCACACCACCTTCAGTAGAAAAAGGAAACGTACTCACCCTTCGCAAGCTGCACGAAGCCAAGAATGATGATGAGAGCCAGCGCCAGTAGTTTTGCCGCAGCAAAGGCATCCTGGACACGAGTGGCAGCTTTCACACTGTAACAGTTCACTGCTGTGAGGAGCACTACGGGAAAGGCACAAGGGGAGACACATCAGTTTTCAGCAAAACACTTAAAACTCAAAACAAAGGATGGCAAATTGGCATTTGCTTTTTTTTTTAATCTTTTTTTTTTTTTTTTTTGCTAAAACTTAAAGCAAACACAAAGAGTCTCTTCCTAAAATAGAAACTTTTCAAAAGCAAGGCTCCGCTGCCACGCGCTTCTCTGTTCTGTCTTTCGTTCTGGCAACAGGTGGTTTGAATAGGGCACACACTCCTTGGGACAAGGAACTGCCCTGCTGTAGTGGAAAGTACACTTCTGAGGGCATATAAATAAAAGCGGTTACCGCAACCACGAGCATCAGCTGCAACCCCTGTTAAGTCGCTCCAATGTAACACTGCCCTTGTGTGTAAACACAATAGACATGTCAGGACAAATTTCCAGAGGTGATATATAGTTATTTGTATAACAATAGCACCCCAAAAGGCTATCGAGGCCACATCGCGCTGCCCACTGCATAAACACAAAGAGACGTCCTTGTCCTGAGCCATTCGGCAAGCTGCGTGACGAACAAGGTCCGCAGGTCAGTGGCACAGCCGGGAAGAGAAGCTGGATCGAAGGAAACCCTCATCCTCTGCTTGACCCGCTGGACCAGCAGTGCCAGGGACGGTCCCGCAGGCTGCCAGAGATGCTCACCAGAGCCACCCACGGCAGCGATGGCAGCACAGAGCGGGGCAGCGCAAGGGCTCAGATCTGCCGTGGCTGCTCTCGTACCTGACTACCCTGACTCCTCAGGCAGCGTTTTGCTTGCCCAGAAGCTCCCACCACATGCAAGCTGCTCTGCGGTTAATGCAAACAACGAAGCCCAACTTCCTACCTTTTTTTTGCCCCATTCCCCCATCGCCCTCCTCTGTATCGCCCGCTGCTGCCACTAATTCACTGTGACACTCCTACCAGGTGAGGGACAGCATGAACGAGGGCTTGTCTAAAGCCACGCAGCCACTGATGGGCCAAGTTTCACCTGCTTCAGAGAAAATAATGGCTAAAACCTTTACTGCTCTTCCAAATCACTTACTATTTTCGTGCCCAGCTCACTCCCCACTCCCCAGAGCCTGTTGTTTGTTATAGAGACGGGAAAATGTCACGCAGAGAATGACAGTGCCCCACGTGCTGGATGCCCTCCCCTCCTCCTCCTCCTCTCCCTTGCCCCGAGCCACCCCTCACTGCCCCCACACCAGCTTGTCACCAGCCCCCAGAGCCAACCGGTCACCGAGTGGCTCGGGGAGGAGCGGATCTCAACCTTTCCTCGTGAGCTGGAGGCTTTTCCCAGCGGGATCCTTTCCCGCTCAGGTTGCAGCTTGTATTTTTACTCTGCAGGAGCCAGGCAACTTTTTCTAAAGCTGGTGCAGGGCAGAGTTAGGCAACCGCTGCTGCTCTCTTCGAGGGTGTGCTAGAATAAAACCTGGCTACCGCCTTGCTCCATCTGCCTGTCGCCCGTTTCCTTTCCAGGCTGGCCTCTGCCTTCCTGCAAAGGCTCTTTCCCACATTCGGCAGCTCATTTTCACGGGACCCCACTGCCTCAACCAGAGCCAAACAGCTGCTCCCCAAAACGCTCAGCTCAGATGCAGATCACCCTCTCCTGAGGTTATGGGGTAGATCTACACTCACAGTTTGAAGCCCAGAGCCTTTGATGTAGATATCTCAGCCTTAATCAAACCCCCAGAGATACGAGGGGGATCAGCAGCACCTTCATCAGGTCACCAGTCTCTCCAGCAGACTGCCAGCGGAGACTCTTGCCGCAAGCCTGTCCCCATGGGGCTGAGCTGCACGTGGTGCTCCAATACACTGGGGGAGGGTGATGGATAAAGGTGGGAGGCAGAAATACCAGTAGTTGGATGGCTTGGTACTGCCCAGCAAGAGCACACAGCGCCTTCAGACCCTCAACACATGCTGAGCATCTCAGGGAAAACCACAATGCACCCCTACTCTGAAGCAAGGTGACCTCCCAGCAACACGCCGGTGCCCAGCTGAGCGTACCCACATATGCACACGAAGGACGCAAGCACCAGCACACCGTGTCCCCACTAACCCACCTCTGACATGAGATGGTCACACAGGACTGGCAGTGCCTTATCTTGGCTCTCCGGCTTGCGGCAGGACCACGCACCAGAGCGGCTCACATCTCATCAGCCCGGAGCAAAGGCACGTTCCCGCAGCCTCACACCCTGCCTCCCAGCAAGGGCACAATAAACTGCCAACTGAGAAACAAAACCACGGGAGGAGGAAGGAGTATTTGGGCATTTAAAGGGTCTTACTGGCTCACTGCCACCCTGCATCCTGCCCTGCCTGTGAGAAAGAACCGCACTGGTAAGAGTTCAGGGAAACGCACGCAGAGCCCACGCCAGAGCTGGGAATAACCTTCCCGGAATATACGGGCACGGACGGGCTCAGATGTACCCATTGGCTGTCTTCAGAGAGATCGGTCTTCAGGGACCGCAGTATCTGGGTCCGACAGCAACGATTAGACTGCGCGTCTTTGCCGAGGGCGACCGGACTTCCCGGTGACTCAGAGCACACACGGGCAAGAAGGGGTACGAGTTGCATCATTCATTCACAGGGGTCTGAGAGCCCGCTACGGCCACAGCACAACAGGAATATGCATTAGGCTGAGAGGATTTAAGCGTCCATACATTCCTCAGCTAAAGGCTGCTTGTAGAGGATCTTTAGAAAGGCAAGAGCAAAGCCAGTCCCGGTGCAACATCCCAGAATATGATGCCTGCTTTCAGGATTGTTGGGTCCCTGCCCCCAAACCCCTAGGATCTAGTGTCATCCCAATACAAGAGCATTTAAAGTCTGGAGAAATTAAAGAGTTGGACATCTTCACAAAGAACAGCATGTGATGCAATACATCCTACAAGAATGAAAGCCAGAAGTAAGGAAGGAATTTCAAATTCACTTCCTTTTGCATCATGCCTTTCCAGCCCCCTTGGCACTTTGGGGGTGTCTGGGCATTTGGGATGGATAAGACTGAACTGAACCCGAGCTGTGTTCATTGGGAAGGACACCGCTGCGGGCTCTCGCACAGGTCCCAGGACAGCACGAGCTGGGCTTTGACAGACCTGCTTCAGCACACAGCCAAAAGCAAACGGTGAGGAACCACGCCGAAAAAACCTGCCACACCACCTCCCCCAAACGTAACCCCCTGTCCCAGGGTCCCTCCGGCCTGTGCTGTTCAGGGCAGATATGGTGTATCTAATTAGAAAGACACGGCGTGCCCCGGCTTGGAGGCTTTTCAGCACCAGCGCTATCGGCGGTTTGCAGGGTCACAGCTCTGCCATCCTGCAGCAAGATTGCGATACATCTGCTCCAACCAGTATGCTAAAAGGGACATTGTCCACATATACAGGGGAGGAGAAAATAAAGGTTAGCAAGATCAACTTACAGTATGTCTGTGTTACAGGGGGAGGCGAGGGGGAGAGAAGAAAACACAGTGAAATATCACTAAGCACAGGTCACAATTCATTTACTATTCACCTCTAGTGAATCCTAACGGGGAGGATGGGGAGGGAAGAGAGGATCCAGGATTCACTTCGACCAGCGATTACGCTAAAAATAAAACTCTCCTTGTTTACAGAGGGATATTTAAAGGATGAGCTAACGCATCTAAAAGCACACTTTTCCCGTTAGTGAAGACAGCCCTTAGAGGTGTGACAGTGACATTCCCTTCCCCATTTAGGCATTCAGTTTCTTTGACAATAGCTGCTTCTGCCTCCACATTAAATACTGACTTACTCAGGGCCGTTTTTCATGTTCTGGTTCTCTACGGAGTCTGCTGGACGGACCGTGGGACAGCAGTGGTGTACATAAAAGGCAAAAGCTTTCTACACAGCTCAAAACCGAAAAGCAATGGAAGCGTCCGTATTCAGCCCTTAAAAATATAGCGGTACCAGATAAACAGGCTCTGTAAAAATAAGAAAACACTTAGGGTCAGAGACTCTGAACAGGGCTGAGAGCTTCTTCCGTGCCAGTCATGATTCAGAGCCCTTCAAGTCACAATCTCTCCACTTTGCTTTTCCCACCGTGTAATAATATTTGTCTTTCCTAAAGGAGGGTGGTGGAGTTACTACACTTAAATGCTTTCAACATGGCTAAAAAAACCCCCAGTTTCACCCACCAGAAAGAATCCTACAGACACCGAGACGAAAAGACAGACCGAGTACTTTTTCAGTAAAACTCCAAGACAAATTCCAGTGGCTGCTCAACCTCCCAGGAGACCAGAAGACCGGGGTTTCTTAAAGCAGAAAGTTCTATTCCTTTCATCCGAGATGCTACTCTGCGAAGCAGGGGCTGCGGGACTCCTCCTGGCATCGCTCCGTTCACCTCGGATGAACTGCTCCACATGAACAACGGGGGAAAGCTGCAGAGTCACAGCTTTACTATAAATCAGGGCAATGATACAGCGCAGGGAAAGATCAGACGGCGCTGCCCTAATTTCTCCAGCACCTTTCCTAAGGCTACAGCCGCCGGCCATTGTCAGCAGCCAGCTATGCAGCAAGGCAGACCTTTAGCGTGACCCATCGGGGCTTTTCTCAGGAGTCATTCTAGGAATACGGATTTCAGCACGACCTGACATGACACATTCTGTCTGATCCAGCAGCCCCTCTCCAAAGGCTTTACATAATTGGGATAATAGGAGCTAGAAAGCTGCAGTGATTGCAGATGTAAGAGGGGCTACTTTTATTTATTTACTTATTACTTCTGGCAGAAGTAGGAAAAGTGCTGGGTTTTGCCTCCTGTAGAGAGAACGTGCTCACAAGGTGCTGTTCACCCCTTCATCTCTTCTGGTGACAAGGTGAGCTTCATTTCAAGATAGTCAAGCCACAGGGGAAGCCAGAGGTTTTCAAAGGGACATTTCGCTTTGTAAAGGCAACAGCGAGTCCAGCTTCCATTATTTACACTGTCCTAATCGTCCCAGCTCGCTTCAGGCATGTCACTGAACCTGATCCGCTGGCACTCACCTGCACAG